TTAGGGGGGGAGTTGTTGTTTTTAATACTGTGCACACATGCCAAAAGTGGTGCTTCAAAGTTTGATGCCCGCCACTTGATGTTTCAAGGGGGGGGCGGTGTCTCATTCCCGCGTCTTTCAAAACTCCATCTGCGAGACGCGCACCCGCGCGACCAAACCATCCGCGCGGCGCGCGGCGCCGCAAGGACGACGAGAAGAGGGAGAGGAGGCCAAAAAGTTGTCAGGAGCATGGCGGGGATTTCTTCATGAATAAATTTGTCTCCCCGCCCGGCCGACTTTTGCGGCTCGGGGTTGTGTGTGTTTCGCTGCCCCGCCCCGCCCCGCCCCGCCACGTCGTCGCTTGCCCAGCCTATTTACAGATTGCAAGCGTCTTTCAGCGAAAAGCGTTTTGAATAAATATTGTATGGGTGCGGTCGCGCGGCAGTGGTGTCGCAGCAGCGGCAGCAGCCGCTTGCTTCAGATAAATAAAACTGTTTGTAAATTTGACATTTTTATTGCAAATGGAATTTTAGTAACTTTAATGACATTTTCAGCGACCGCATGAAAACTATACGCCATGTTGCTCTTGACGGTGGTACGTACGGCGTCTTTGACCAAGGAATTTACATTTTCTACATATCCAGAAAATTATTTCGGGTATTATTTTTGTGAAATGTTGTCACTTGTTTTCTCGTCATTTTTCTAGAAAAGTAGTCTTTAGTTTTCCACGCGGAAATGTTTTCGGCTTCCTTGGCTAGTCCACGATGACGGCGGCCGGCGCCAGGTCTCGCCTCAGGGCGCGCGCCGCCTCGGCGTCCAGCTGCTCGCACTGGCTGAGGTGCACCAGGCGTAGCTTGGGCGGGCGGGGCAGCTCGGCGCCGGCCCCGTGCCGCGCGCCGCCACCGCACAGCGCCGAGACCAGGTCCGGGCTGAACTCTGGAGCCCGACAGATGCTCAGCACCTGTGGAGGCGCGCAAGGCAAGGGGGAGGGTGTTAGACACTGTCCCGGGAACGCGCTTGCGAGTGAAATACACTACCGGAAACGCAAGTGTGTGAACGTGGCACACTTGGAAGGTGTGTCCATACCCACGCACACTTGATGGAGTAGGGTTGGGAATTTCCCAAATTTTCCGGTGAAATTTCGGAAAACTTTCCGAAAACATACGGAAAATAACTGAAAACTTTCCAAAATCTGGGAAATTTTTCATTTTTTCCCAGTAATTTTCTATCTTTTCCAGAAATTTTCCAGAAATTTTCCGGAAATTTTCCTGGGCTTCCAACCCTATGATGGAGTAAAGGTATGAATTTTCCTTTGAATTGCACACATCTGTACACGACTGGCATTTACATACATACAGGGTGGCCGCTCTGCCCCGTTGTTTTGAAAAGGTAGACTAGCCCGCTGACAGAAGGGGCGGGGAGGTGGCAGGGGACTGGAGATGTAGGTGCGGGCGGGGCTAGTCTACCTTTTTAAAACAACGGGACAGAGCGGCCACCCTGTACAGGTGACATTCACACATTGGGTTTACAGTTCAGAAGAAGGTGTGTTGCGCGACGACTTAACAGTTTTGCCCGTTCGTATAAATGACATGAATAATTAACGTCTTTTCCACTTTCTACTTTTTACATTACCATCCGAGTGACACAAAAATGATTCTCACACTCAATCTGTTTTGTGGGTCTGACATATTTGTCATCATTGCCCTATTCTGTTTGCAGAGTAACTACTAAGATTGCGCAATAGAGAGAGGAGTGGTTGCTCCGTCTTCTTTGGCGGCGGGTACCTCACCTCGAGGTCAGGGTACACTCTCTCCTTGCAGGCGAGCGCGCTGGTCCTCAGGAGCCGTACGGTGTCTGCGTCCCAGCGTGGCGACTCCAGGAAAACGCCTTCGATGTGGGAGGATCGATCCTTGGCTTTGCACAGGAAAAGGAAAACTGTAAGAGCTCCAGTTCCAGATAGCCCGAGGGGCTTACCCCAAATCCTAGAAACAACAAAACTTGACAAATTTGTAGGTTTTCAATACTTAGTATCAAGAAAACAGTTCTTAAATCACGTTTTCGTGAAAGTTTTGTCCTAGTTTGCGGTTGCCCAGGAAAGCTTCTGGAAAATTTCAGGAAAATTTAGGGAAAAACAGAAAATTTCCGGTAAAAATGAAAAATTTCCCAGACTTTGAAAGTTTTCCATTATTTTCCGGAAGTTTTCGGGATTGTTTTTTGGAATTTAATAACCCTACTAGTGTTTTGAGTAGTGGAGCACAGTCCCGAGAGGAAGCGACGAAATGGGGATGATATTGCAGCCACTAGAGTGGACATGCTGGAGATCCCTCGTGGAGGGCGGCAGCCGGCAGCCGACCGATATATAGCTTTCTCTCCACCACCCCCGCGTTTGAGCTCGGGCCCTCACAGACTGGGGACCCTGTGCTCCTGTGCTCATCTTGCCTTCTCCGTGGTGGGAGAGTATTAACTTTATTGGACGTCGCACGACACAAGAGCAATCTCAGGGTTGAGGGAGTAAGGTGAGGAAGGGGTTAAATTTTGTGCGAGTAAACCAATAATTGCCCTCTTCAAATCGTCTTTCACATTTTACGCTCGTTTGCAATTATTTTTCTTAGGTTTTGACTATGCGCCCGCCGATTTTTTAAAGAAAGTCTTTTGAATCACTCCAGTTGTTTCTTTGTTTTATTTTTCGCAGTCCCAGACCCACCGGGCAGCAGCGTCCACCTCCAGAAGCACTGCGGCACGTCGTGGTCCCAGCTGAAGTCGTCGCCGTCGGCGTAGAACAGCAGGCGGAGGCGGCGCAGCGGCGCGAGGCTCGACGGCGTCCTGGAGGAGGAGCAGCCCCAGGGCGCGCAGCTGGGCGGCGTCACGTTGCCGCACCCGGACAGCACCAGCTCCTCGAGGCGCGGGCACAGCGCCACCACCTGGTGGACGTCTACCTCCTCCAGCACCTGTGTACGGCAATCAGACACAACCATCCTTATTATTTTATTCACAATGTCAAGCGCAAACTCGGGATTTTTTTTTGAAGAAGTAGTCGAACCTTTTTCAGATGATTTTCTTTGTCTCTAAGAAAACTGATACTTATATTCTGAAGTATGCCAACGTTTACATCTGGATCAGATGCAATTTGGTTTGAACAAGTAGACAAACTGTGGAAAGTTGTGCGCAATGTGTCGAGTTTATTTTTATGATGAAAATCGGTACCGGTACCACGGTGCAAGTGACTCACTGCATCGTGATGCGTGCATGAAAACGCCCCCTTTTAGGAACAAAATTATTATTTCTTTACATGTCGAGTGTCGACGGAGGACTCGGGGCTCTCTCAAACAGGAGGGTGGGTATACGGGGGCTGTCGGTGGCAGCAGAGCTCTGAATGCTGCGTTCCCCGTCGGAGGTTGACCAAAGGCAGACGATGAGCTGTCCCCGCCGGTCTGTGACAGACCACCGCAGCACCTCGCCCCCTCACAGCCGCGCTCGGCAGTCTGTCTGGGACCGTCACAGTCTGTCTGGGACCTCAATGCCGTCTGCCTCGGTCGGGCCTGCTCCGACGCGTATACGCAGAGCTATCTGAGAGAAGGGGGAACTTGGCGACCACCCTACTGGCCGCGTGCACCCGCCTACACAAACGGGTCAGGTGCGAGTGACCAGAGAGAGAGAGAGAGAGAGAGAGAGAGA